GGGTTTTACATGGGGGTGTGGGGTTTGGGATTTAAGGGTTTAAGGGTTTGGGTTGTAAGGGTTTTGGGGTTTGGGATTCTAGGGTTTAGGAGTTTGGGATATAAGGGTTTTGGGTTTCGGGGACAATTTGGGGCTAGTGGGGCTCACCGGATGGAAAACTTCCTCAAACTTCATCGACTGACTTCCAACAGTAGTACGAATGTGCGTGCACATGTTCAGCTTGCGCTTGGTGGTCTCGGGTCCGGATAGGGCAACCCGATTTGCAAGTGCTGTGCGGAAAGTCGTTGCAGCTGTTGCAACATGCTTATGTTCGGGTTTTGGCACAAGCACTAAACGCTAGCAAGGCCTAAGCCCCGAAGCCCAACATCAATCATCAATCAACCGCCGATGATTCTGAGCCGACCAATCACGAATCTTAAGTTATTAGTGAACCCGACGAGGCCTTACATATATGTATATAAAGGGATAAAAGATACACATATACATAGTCTCTATATATATTTATACACAGAGATATACATGAGGTAAGTCATATGTCCATGTACAGACACAAGCACACACGCATCCACACGTGCTACAAGTACAGAGCATAATAGCAGGTGATTATGGCTGGAAAGTCTTGACCTCGGATGATCCGGAAGAGCGCCGGCGGAAGCTAAATGCATCTTGCACTGCAGACCAACGGTTTAGGGTTTAGGGTTGAGGGTTAAGGGTTTAGGGATTTTCAATCCCGGACACATGTCAGCGTTCAAGTTTGAGGGTGTCGTTTTTAGGGCTCGCGGGCTTGGTTTATCGGGTTGAGGCTAAGTAAGCCCGTGCACCCAGCCCGAACAACCTGCACCCAGAAACCTTCCCATAACGAGGATGTTGCTTTTTCCCGGGATGTCCTTTGACGTTCCAGATATTGTCAATGACTGGAAACCCCTAAACTTAACCCTAAACCCCTAAACCATAAACCCTAAACCGGGAAACCCGTATACTGTGGAGTTAAGAAGCAGGCCATGGTTCAGGATTCCTTTGCGGGCATTGGGCTTCTAATTCCTCGACCTGACCCTTTAGAGTTCAGGGGTTTGGTGTTTACCAGCTTAGGGGATTCCGATCCACAAGCCGAAGGGTATATGGATTGGGGGTTTTACGGGTTTAGGGGTTCAGGGTTTAGGGTTCGGTCGGGGATGGTTTGGCATCACATGTGGCAGGCTGTGGTTCTACTTGCTTCAAAAGTCTTCCCAAACTTAGGGCGTTCATGCTTTGGTGTGTCAGGGTGTAGACGGTTGAGGATTTAGGGTTTAGCATGCCACCTCTATCGCAGTGGCTCTGCAGACCAAGGTTGTCTGAGCGCACCCACAAGTAGAGACTGCAGCGAAAAGGCGTTGATCAATTCACAAAAGTTCTGAGCACAAAGACGGATGATCAGATCACGGACATATCTACATCATCCCATGTGTTTGCCTACCTATGTGTTTTGCTAGAGCGACCCTGCTTGCAGGCTGAATGAAAGCCCACTGTACAGCAGCCCGACACTCCAAATCCAAAACCCACAGGCATAAGCCATAAGTCCTAAAGCCGAAGGCCTATCATTCAGCCGTTGCCCCAACCCAAGACCCTGCGAAGGAACCCGTCGAGGATTCCTGAACACCAAAAGTCCCAAGACTAAGCCTTAAGTCCTTAAACCTCCTTCGACAAAGAGCCCGCGAATACAACGGAACTTGCACTGTGTGTCAGGCAGATTTAGCGAACGGTCGCTTGGCCATGGTCGCCATCATGGCCCTGCTCTTTCAGCTCTTCACCTCAAGAGCTTCAGGGGGGGCGGGGGGGTAGGGTTTAGGTGTTAGGGTTCGAAAAGGAGTTTAGTGTTTTTACCCTAAGTTATTTGGTTTCAGGGCTGAGGGATTTACGGCCTACCTCGAGCAGACAACGCAGGTAGCCGGATTCCAAGTTTTGTTTTAGTTTGGGTCGACGATCGATGGGTTAAGGTTTTTTGGGTTGAGTTTAGGACCTAAGGTCTTGCTTCCGTTTACTCGGTTAGTACCAGAACGTGACCTATCGGGAGTTCTTGAAAGATCCTGGTATATAAACGAGGGACGATTGGAAATATGCTTCCCTGCAAGGGGATGCTAGCTGCAAGACAATCCTATGGCTATTCGGGGGTTAGGTTCCGACCATGCAGATAGGTGACATGGGAAGACAAAACCACTCATCCGTGAACCGGAAAACCTGAATCGGAACTACTAGGGCTATAACTTCACGGGCCAGAGGTTTCAAAGAAGAGGGTGCCAAAAGAAGGACATCCTCACCAAACGCAAAAGGAACAGAAGGATCCCGGCCCTTGCTCTGAGAGGCTGCTTAGAGGATTGCCATGCATCCGACCGTTGATGGTCTAAATCCTGCATGACCCATAATAAGGAATATACCATAATTTCCATAGTTTAGGTTCCTTAAGGTAATGCAGGGTTTATATCATCAACAGGAACACTGTCACGATAAGCTAGTTTCTTCCTGGAACTGTTGTGTTCTCTTTCTCTGCAGCTGATTTTGCCGTGCAGGCTTCCGGATTTGGTGAGGTCTATGGATCTTTAGGTTGGAGGGGCAAAGCCTCGAATAGTCGTGGATGAGACCTTCAGAGGCCCAGCCCCTACAAGTACACTACTTGTCTGCATACATGCTCCAGACAAGAAACAAGCCAGCGACAGTGTTTCAGATATGTTGACCAAGAAAGACACATGTCCGCAAAACATATCAAACAACTCCAGCTTGACCTGCGACTGCATGAATGCAAGACGGCACGAAATACACCATGCTAAGCGTAGCCCCAAACTCCTAATCCCTATCGGTTTGGCAAGGCATTGTAGACGGCCACAACTAGGTAGTGTTTCGGCTCGGAAGTATTAGCGATTAGGGTTCTCAGTGAGGTTTGTTTCTGGTTCGCGCTATCTGGGGTTGAAGGCGCCTGGCATAGGATTCTGTACTCCAAAAAGCCAGGAATGGTGTTGCGGGCACCACGGGTCCTGAGATGTGGTTGCCACGGCTTTAACATCAAGGCGGCTGCACTGGGATAAGAATACGTTACCTACCTTGAACTATACATTATCTACCTGGAACTACCAAAACCTACTTGTTAATGGGTTCCTTCTTAGTTCAACATGAGGTCTTCTAGTAAGAACCCACCAGAAAGTATATTATAGTAGTTTAAACTGTACTGCCATGGTAGTCCCTTTCGCTGCTTCGTTTCTCGCAGGTACCTGTTTCCTGCACTCCCATGGTCGTGTTTTTGTTTGGATACTTTGCTTGTGTATTGTGGAATCCCGATCCAAACCCGACGGTCAACCAACAAAATGAGCGACATCGGAGACTTTTGGCAAGGCCCGAAAGTGTTCCTCCCCGAAGGAGAAAGCCCTAAACCCTAAAACTCTGATTAAGCCGCATACCATCAACAATTATGGCCTACAACCGGGACCCGCAAGCCGTAAGCCGCATGCCATAACAATATAGGTGCCTTAATGAGTAGAATAGGGTTTGGGAGTGTATTATACTATAATGATAATAAGGAGCCCCCCCAAACCCTGTTCTAACTGATTCTAACTACTAAGGCCCCTACATTACGCCCTAAGCCCTGAGCCGCCTTTGTGGGTCTGTTCGGATACCGGATGTCCCGCACTTTCCTAAACGCAGTCGTGCCTTCGCCCAGCCCTGAACTCTCTTTGGCCCATGCCCTAATCATTTTGACTCGGGTAGATGTAGAGCAAGCCCCAAAAAGTTGGAAACCGGATTAAGGACAATTACTGTAGTGCCTGTACATTGCTCTTGAGGGTTGAGGCCTTTGGGTTTCCAACTTTTGGGCTTCTACTGTAGAGAGGTTCCGACTTGGCTCTGATTCGCTGATCCGCACAACTACTTCGGAGATTCAAAAGCATAAGAGACCCCTGTCTAGGAGTCTAGGGCCTGTCGGGCTTAGAGGTGGTAACATAGTACCCTGAAAGGGGGGTGGGCTCGTCACCAGTTCTGTATTCGAAGGGTTTGTGTATTTCGGCTATAGAGCTTAACAGCAGGCCATGAGACTTTATAGAGTATGTGGGGCAGAGACGCATGTTGAAAATCATGGGCGAACATCGCCTCTCCACGGGGATCTCCGACAGTCTGGTGTTGTCACCGTACCCAAAGACCCCGAACTTCCTAAGCTGGTACAAGCTCTGGCTGCCAGGGACAACAGCAGGGAGCCACGATGCAAGTGCATTTAGGCAGAGAATTTGCAAACCCTGAGAGTCCATGTACCTATATCGTGTATTAGTAGTACATTGTCATACACTTCGACCCCGAAGTACCTAAAGGGGAGTCCCTGTTTAGGCCAGTGTACAGCAGTACAGGTACGTGGACCATGAGGGTTTGACCGAGACTTTGCAAAGGCATCGTGAGCTTCGAGGCAAAGTGGCGTTTCAAAATTCGCGCGGCTAGGCAAAGCATTCTAGCCATAGTTTTTGCCTGCACTGGCGACTGAAAAAGGCAGACATGGGTTGAAATACAGCATTCAAGATGCAGAGAGCATGTTCATACACTTGCTAGCAAGAAGACAAGAAGAGCCCTGCATCTGTATCGTGGCCGGCTCAGGTGCGATGCTACTGCACTGCCACCTATGCTTGCCCTGAAACTCGAAACCCTAAGAATTTGGATTTCGGGTCACAGCCAAGCCACCAAATCGTTAAAATAGCCCTTATAGTAGCCCTTACAGACCCCTTGAAAGGCACCTTATTCTAAACTAATCCCAAGCCAGAGCCTTCCGACCAAGCAAAGGCCCATCCGAAAAAGCGCTGATGAAGCGCAGATCCATAAACCATGAATCCGACACGAGAGCCGTAGAAGCCCTAACTGTATCCCTAAGCCCTATAACCCTAAACCGCACTAACCCAAAACCTGCCCTCCCCAAACCCTGCAGCTTGAAAGGGCCTAAATCTATATCTATATATATATATATATATATATAAGCCCCAAACCACAAGCAAGTCAAGGATGCGCTGCTCGAGGCTGATCCGGAAGGCCACCTCTTTGAGGCGCGCCTCCTACTATAGGGGCCTATATCAATAGTATGTTGAGACTTTCTGATTATAAATGAAATATACTGGGCCCCAAAACCCTATTCTAATTATTGAGGTGACTCCTGGCGGAAGTTTGCCCAAGACTGGTTTGAGAGGGTTTAAGTTTAGGATTCAGGGTGGCCGGAGATTTACTTGGGCGGTCCAGGGAAACCTATACCTAAACCACCCAAAGTAGGTAGAATACCGTCCCACTACCCTGTAAAAGGCCATTGTCCTACATACTTCCGGGGTCCAGGTAGGGCGTAGGAGATGGCAAGATTTCTTGGGTTCAGGATGGCTGCCGGTCCATGGTTCCTGGGTTTAGGGTTGAGGTTTTAGAGTTTAGGGGGGTTTAGCGTGGAGGGATGAGAGTTTAGGGTTCAGGGTTTCTTCTTCGTAGTAACTATACCTAGGCGTAACTTCACGATGATCAGCAACAAGTACACAGCGTGGCCGCATATGAAGTATGTGCCGAACGAGGAGGACATCGGCCCCGGCACAGATCCCATCGCCATCGCAGCTCTCCTTGCCCAGGCTTTATCTTTGAAATGGAGGTCTGCACATTGACGGTTGGCAACACCAACACGATACCGGTCGCAGAGTGGTGCCAAACACTTCGCAAGCGGCAGCAGCGTTCTCCGAGCCCGAGCGAGTCCGACGCGCCGTCGTCGATGCCCGCGGTTACACCGTTGTTTAGGGTTTAGGGTTGAGGCTTTAGAGTTTAGGGTTGGGAGTTGAGTTGAGGGTTTGGTGTGGAGGGTTGATAATGCAGTGGAGGCCACCTATCCCAGACCCTATAATCCCTTAGCCTTAAAGACTCCCAAAGAGCCCTTTAGTAGAGTCCTTATGACCTTAATAGTGGGTATTTGGGGTATAATCCCGAACCTACTAGAATTTGAGGAATATTCCTTAATTAAGGGATGTCGGAGTCTTCGGAGCCTGAGCCCCAGCTCCTGAGCCCCAAATCCTGGATCCCACGCATTAGACCCGAAACCCAGAGCCTTCAACCATGAGTCTGCAGAGCTTTGGGGCTAAACCCTTAACCCTAAGCCCTAAATCCTATACCCTAACCCTAAACCCTAAGCCCTAAAGCCTAAGCCCTAAATCCTAAACCCTAAACCCTAAACCTAACCCTCAACCCTAAATCCTAAACCTGAATCGAAACTCTGGCCCAAAGGATTGAGGTTTCGGGCCCCAAACCTGCCGATCGAAGGCCTGTACTCTCGGCGCCGTGCAGAGGGTTTAATAACTTACCTGGTTAGTAGGGGATGGAGGAATGTGGTACAATTATAAATACTATTACTACCATTCTTCCATTCGCTGCTAGCCAAAGGTAAGATAAAAAGGCTTGTTTTCCAATATACCTAAACAAGGCATAAGCCGAGAACTACCGTTACCTAGATGTCCGCTTCTGAGGCTCGCCTAGTTGCTCTAGGTGTACCCTATATCTATCTATATATATATATATATATATACATACATATCCATATCCCCAAATTCCCAAATTGCGCAGGAGGTGGCCAGGCAGCAGCCATCAGAAATGGCGCCCAGCCGAACAGGTTGGGTGCGCCTGGATCTCATCAATGGCAACTTGGATGCAGGTTAGTGTGAGTTACAAACTCCCAAATGTCCAGGTCGAGATATCTTTGATAGAAGTTCGGGCTGTTCTGCTGCTGGCGGTGATTGCGATGCTGGTGATGGATTGGAGACGCTGCTGCTGCCGCCGCGCCGGAGGAGGAAGGGGGAGGAGGAGGAGGACGAGCACGAGAACGGGGACGGGGACGAGGAAGAGGACTATGACGATGCTAATGATGAGGCTGATGTTGATCGTTTGTTGTGATGAAGGCGAAGATCAGAAACAGAGATCATATGTGAATGGTAGAGGGATGATAGTGACCAATTTTGAGGTGTAACTGCAACGCAGCTTAGTTTCATGATGCTGCCAGGGATGATTATGACGGCCGTGGTCGCTGCGATCACCGTTTGCAGGATCTCTGTTCACTCGGAGCAGAACCCCAGGCCCTGTGACCAAGTGCAGATTGCCCCTGCTGAGCACCCGACGAACTGTTTTGGAACCTGTTCCGAATCCACTGCGCCCCCGCGATGAGCGGAACGGGGAAAGGAGTGCAGTGAAAAACTCGCAACTTCCGACCCTGTAGACACTGTAGACATAAATGCCTCTAGTCATGTATTCTCGAATCCCCAACCTAAACCCTTACTCTTAGAATCCTCGTACTTAGACCCCCTAAAGCCCCAAACCTGAGTTCAAGGACCGGGCTTCGGCCAGCTTTGTTCCTTGGCAGCCCTGCGGCCGACTTTCGGCGGAGTTCAGTGATGCATCCCTACTTGGAAGGGCAGGGGACTTAGTTAGTCGTTCATAAGTAGGGTTATAATTGGGGTAACTCCATTTCGGGTACTTATAACTCGACATATATAACCTACTTACTAAGTCCCCTGCCCTTCCAAGTAAGCTGTGTTCTTATTGTTGAGGGAAAAGTGTTTAGGGTTTAGGGGTTCAGGGTTTAGGGTTTAGAGGCACGAAAAGGCTGGGTTCTTGTTAAGGGGTCTAATTTAAGTTACCATAGTAGGGCTCTCTGAGGTTCCTTTGGGCTACTATAATCCTTCAAGGGTTTAGGGTTTGAGGTTTAAGTTACCATAATCAACAGGGATCTATAGTAAGTAATATGGTTTCCTTATTATGGTAACTTAAAATTAAATTCCTTAACAAGAACCCAGATAAGCTCAAGTCCTAAGGGTCCATATACCCGTTATATAGTATGTACTTAGAAGCCTTACTGCGATTCAATTGCAAAGGGTCCTTATTGCTATATGTGGTAGCTATGTACTTAAGCTTGAAAGGGTGCCTATACAGGTATTTTCAGGCCAAGGGCATGGGGTTGGGGTGCCAGGCTTGGTTTGGGGCTCGGGGCTTGGGGCTCAGGGCTTCTATTCGGGTTCAAGGTCTGGCGTGCGGCTCAGGCCTGAGGGGGTTGAGGGTTCAGAGTTTGGGGCTTTTGATATAGGGCCCGAAATAATAAGAATGGGGTTTGGGGGCCCATTATACTATAACTGTACGAAGGAACCAACCCCCAAAATAGTTTTGGTAATTGTTAGGCCCCTATATTGGATGTTTCAACCGCGGTCTTGAAGAAGGGAACCATTACGACGGAACGGTGTCTTTCTCAGGGCTTAGGGTTACGAAGCATCTTCAACACTGAGTTTAAGCTCTCATCGGGGCGGTCATTTGGAACATGTTGTGGCAAGAAGCACTGCGAAACACTGAACTTCATAGAACTTCATAAATAATATCGGGGCCTTATAGATCCCTCAGGGGAACCCTTATAGACCCGCTTTCAAGGGACCCTATTCTAATTATTGAGGCCCCTACAAGAGGTGGTGTGGATCTGGGAGCTTTAAAGATGGATCTTGTATTCATGATCGGCAGCCCAAAGCCCAGTTGAGGTGTTTGGTGCATCTAGACCCCCCAAACACTTGTCTCAGCCTGAAAATTAAAAGGCTTTCACGTCCCAGACTCTGAATCCTAAAGTTCACCTTCTGAGCTCATCCCTGGAAAAGCTCTCAACTTTCAAAAGAATCTTACCCAAACCCCTTTAATGGGCTTTCGGGGTTGTAGGCTTCACCCAGAGGCTCCATAGTAGTTCCTTTCTGGGATTACCTTATATATAGAATTCTGTATATGAACCCCAAAAAGGAACTACTTTAGGTGTACAGCGCTTCATGGCTCAGAGTTATCTCGGGGCACCCTTCTGAGGAGTTGTGAGCTTCTTGCCTCACGGCCCGAGATAAATGGAAACTGCACCGCGCACCTTGGGAGCAAAGCCGAAGTGGAGCTAGAGCTCTGAAGGGGGTTTATTTCTGTGAGGTGTAGGGGTTTTGGAAGTTTAGGGTTTAATTTCGGGTTGTGTTCGAGGGTAAATTCTTGGCGTAGTCTCATACCCCATACGCTAAGTCCCTTGCCTCAAAATCCCAAGCCTAAATCATCCATGTACATGTATAGATTCCTGCAGCTTCACAGCTCCTTGCACTGCGCAGCTCTTATTGCCACTAGACTCGAGTTGCAGGGTCTATAGGGCCAGACCCTAAACCCAAATCCTGACATGAATCGGCAGTCCTAGAGTCCTAGAACGAGAACTCTTACCCCGAATGCTAAAGCTCCAAGGGACCAATGCGCGAAAGAGACACATGTCTTCTCGGTCTTACAGTATATCCAAAATTTTGCAACCCGAAGCCTCGAAACCTGAAACCGTAAATCCGACGTTTTGAACCCTAAGCTTCAAAAACCTAAAACCCGCAGCTGAGAATCCTAAGCCATAAACCCTAAGGGTCCATGTACCCCAATAGAATCTACTTTGGCCTGAAAAACTCCCTATGTTTGTACTTTGGGGCCAAAGTATATACTATTTGGGTACATGGACCCTTATACCCCAAACCCTTATAGATCCCTTATAGATCCCTTTAAAGGAACCTTATGGTACCCCTAAAGGAACCCTATTTGGGTACATGGACCCTTGGGGATAAAGGCCCACCCGAAGTCGCAGGCCCGATCGATGTGGCAGGAAAAACGAACCGAGGCGGGTTTAGGGGTTTAGGGTTTGAGGTTCAGGGTTTAGGGGTTCAGGGTTTAGGGTTTAAGGTGACAAAGTTACCTCTATTGGGATAACCTCTATATGGCGTAGTTAACAGCATGTGTGTTGCGAACGGGCAACACCAGTAGGCTGTGATAGCGCAAGGCTGGCACAAATCCAGAACGCTAACTTTGACGCAAAGGCCGATGGACAAAATAGACACATAAGACTTCCACCAAAAGTTAAGATGCAGATACACAGTAACAGCATATATGAAGAACATATAATTATGCTACATACGACCACGGTATGCAAAAATACAATTAACAGACATTTAGCAACACATACAGACAGATCTAACCTCAAGAACAGGTACTTAGCCGGAGCAGCCCTTGCACGACTGATGCCCGGCAGCGAAATCAAGCCGCACTTCGATACTCACTGCAGGCTACGGTTTGGCCACGGAGCCAACATGGGGGTTCAGGGTTTCGGATCTAGGGCTGGGTGGGGTTCCGAAACTCAGTATATCTCAGTAAAGGGAACTCCAGAAAGTTGGAATATGGATTAATGGTAGGATCCCCTATAAAATTTACCTTAAAGGGGTTACGATAATGATATTCCAACTTTCTGGCTTCTACTGTAATGCCTGGGGTCTTACACATGCATAAGGTGGTTGGATATGTTGTTGAACGGGCTTCTTGGAAATGAGGGCTCTCGACTTGGGTTTTATTGGCTTCCTTCGTTTCGCTGTATACTACAGGTCCCGTATATATACTATACATCATTCAAGGGTTCTTGCTATACCGCTTGCTGAGGCACATAGCATTGAGCCCTCTCTCGGATGTAAGAAGTTTTGCCTAGGTTTGCTGTCGATTTAATGTCCAGGGCTCAGAGTACAAACAACCTGTAGTCTCCATTGTAGTTCCTTTTTTGGGCTACCTTATAGGATCCTTCATATATAATTGGTAAAACCAAAAACAAGGACTCCAATGGAGAGTATAGGAAGGATTTAAGTTAGGAGTTGAGATTAAAGGCGCCTGTGCTTCTCAGCGTGACGTTTTGGTGTTGGATCACAGCTTGGGCGGTCGGTCTCTCAGCAGCGTGCCGAAGCAACCCTGAACCCCGAAATCCGATTCAACCCTAAACCCTTTCATGCTTAATCCCCTAGTTAGCCCTAGATTAAGATTCCGAGACCCCAAACCCTCATCAAGGGATCTTCCCTGACGAAGGCTCGCTGCGCATCTTGGGCTGCGGTCCGTGGCCGGGGCTTCCATGCGGGTGGGCGGTGAGATTGCGTCTTGGGAGGACCGGCCCTGTCCCTCAGGGTCCATGTACCCAAATAGTATATACATTGGCCTTAAAGTACTCCCTATATGAAGTATATACTATCTGGGTACATGGACCCTTGGGGCTGTCACCGTGAAGGATTCTGAGACTCACAGTTCCAGGGTTTGGGGTGAATCAGGCGTAGGGGCTTAGGGATTTAAGAAACAACAGCACCCATGCAACAAAGCACACAACAAGCATTACACTTGAACATCCAGCCCCCCTCCGCAGCAAAAAAATGCATTCATGCACGCGCAAAACCTAGAATCCCCGAGCCACGAAAATCAAGAATGCGCCCACCCCGGGAAACCCTACACTTCCACAAGCCCTGGGCCGTAAAGCCTTCTCCTTTTCCTATCAGCCTTCAACCCTAAATCCTTAGTCTTTGATCGGATCCTGCAAGACTGAAATTTGAACCTTAAGCCCTAAACCCTCTTTTCAATAGCAGGAGAACCCTGAAGCCCTAAGCCCTTAAGCCCTAACCCCCTCAACCTCGAACCCTAAACTAGAAACCCTAAACCAGAGGAGGGGAAGGCTTTGGTCTTCGACGACACCTTCGTCCATTCCGTGATGCACGAAGGCCTCGAGCCGAGGCTTGGGCACTCCCTTCGAGTTCGCAGAACCAGATGAAAGTAAGGGGTTTAGGGCTTTTGAGTTATTTCAAACATTTGCGGCTTAGGGTTTAAGATTTATTTGTGTTTAAGTTCTTATTTGGGGTTTATGCTTTACTAATATTTGTGGTTCATGGCTTAGGGTATTTGAGGTTTAGGGTGAGCTCGAGGGGCCTGGGGCTTAGAGGGCTCAGGGTTTCGGCTTTCAGTTCGTCCTCGGTGCATTCAGCCGGTTCAGGGTTTGCGGTTTTGGGATATAGGAGTTTCCGAAAATTAAGAGACCCTGATACAGTAATTACGCTGAGTAGTAGGATCCTTATTATCAGGACCCCAAAATAAGGTACCCCGAATAATCGGAGACTCCCATATGCTGATCTTGGATGCTGTTACGGTTGAGCTGAGGGGCGCAGAAGGCTTCCGCGAGGCTGCAAACGAATTAACCTTGCGATGTCTGAAGACCCTACCTAAAGCCCCAGAAGTCCTAAACCGTAAAACCTAAACCAATAAACCCCCAGAAGTAGGTAATAACCAGTAGTCTGCATACTTTTTAGGATTCAGGTACATCCTACATAAAATCCTTTGGCGTTTGCGATCCCCAAACCCTAAACCTACTGTTGATGATACAAATCCTGAATTACCCTTAATAAGGAATATACAATATTTTCCATAGTTTAGGGTCCTTAAGGTCATGCAGGATTTATATCATCAACCGTAGGAGTGCTGCCTGCAAGGTATGTCCTCGTCTCCTGGTTTTGCCACCCGTGTGACCGAAATTTTCGGAGACAACTCGGTTCCGACTGGCTGGAGGTGCTCAGGTTAAGCGTTGTTGGGGTTTCGGGCTCAGTGTTTAGAGCTTCGGGTCTACATAGTGCTTAACGGCTTGGGGTCTGAGGCTATACGGGGTTTGGAGTTTGTGATCGCGAAAGCGTGTTTTTTCGGATTTTCCGCACCGAGCCATGAATAGCAGCTGGTTTGCATGCAAGGCGTATGAAGCTCGAAGCCACAACGGCTTCTGACAGCTACCCAAGCCAAAGCCTGCAAAAGGGTTTGAAGACTGACAGAAGACATCTGCATGTTTTGGAGCTTGGAGCATGGACATGCGGTCTCGCTGCACATGATATCTACTTGGGTTCAAGCTTAGAAGCCTTGAACAAAAAGCTCCACACCAACCTTGAACCCTCAAGCCGTTCCGTCATGAAACTTGTTCGGGAAGAAGCACACGGACATCGATATCATCTATTCGGAGCTTCAAAGGCTTTAGGGTCCATGGGCTTAGCGTTCAGGTTAGCTCTTTGGGGTTTATTGGGTTTCTGGTTGAGGGGTTGATGCGATCCAATACGAAGCCCAAATCCGGAAACCTACATGGCGAATCTCAGGCCTGAAGCCCTTCCGTCCGAAAATCCCTGACCCCTCCCCCCGATCTGTCAAAAGTCAAAATGTACAGCATCCCTCTGCTCCCCAGCCAACATAAGATTTACCGTCCCAAACCCAAGGGCCTTATACTGATGTCCTTTGGACCCTTCGGGTTGCGTGGTCAGGCGAAGGGCTAAAAGGGTGAAAAACACACGCAAGCAACACCTTATATGAACTCAAACCGAGAAAAACCACTAGATACCGTAAGCACCAAAACACTTGGGGCTCAGGATTTAGGGTTAAGATGAAGCCGAGAATTGCAACCTAGTGTGAAGAGCCTCCCTTTGATATTCACAGATACCCCGCCCCTCCCCCAAAGGCTCCGTGTACCTCATAGTAGATACTTAAGCTTTAAAGGGGTCCCCATATAGGTACTTTAAGGCCTATATAAGAATATACTATATGGGTACCATGGACCCTTAGACCATAAACCCTATAGAACCCTACATGGAACCCTTAAAGGAGCCATTAACGGAACCCCATTTGGGTACATGGAGCCTTTTAGGGTCCTCGAAGGCAAACCCACTGCCAGAACACTGCGGCGATGGCGGCGGCGAGCCGCTAGTGGAGGGCTACGGAGATCGGCTTTAGAGTTTGAGGTTTTAGTGAATGAGGTTTAGTGGATTTAGGGTTTAGGGTGCTCTATAAAGTCTTAGGGCCTATGGCGCAGACCCTAAAACCCTAAACCCGACCGACCAAAAGCCTTCGACGTCATCCAAGGCTTAGACTACCATAACCAGCTACTATCTTGTAGGTTATGAACCCTAATGTGGGATTACGGGTACTTTACGACAAGTAGGTTTCGGTAGCTTACAGCTACACAAGCCCAAACATCAAATCCTTTTCGACCCGCTTTTGATCGTTTCGTCGTCTCAGCTGACCCCCGTTGTGTGTCCAGTTGGGGCACGAGACGTGTCTTGGTTCTTGTTAAGGAATTTAACTTAAGTTACCATAGTCGGGATCTATAGTGAATAACAAGGTTTCTGTGTTATGGCAACTAACATTAAATCCCTTAACAAAAACCCAGCCTCTGTTCCAGGTATATATTCTGTTTATGGTGTGTCGGCCTCTGATGCGGGGGTTGAATATTCTAGGCTTGGTCCGGAATGCTGGGGTGTCGCCCAATTACTTAAGCCCTGGCCCTGTGCAGGAACTTCAGAAGTGACCCCAAATAAAGACACTGAGTACTGGTAGTAGGATTTTTGCAATAAGAAGCACTAAGTAAGGTATCCTGTCGTCCAGAAGCGCAAACTGGTGAAAGGGTGGCGAGTTGGGTTCATTTCCGCAGATGGTGTGTGGGCAAAGCAACTCCATCCCACAATGTACATATCTCGGGCGACAAAGCGGCGCCTTCAGAAGTGGATAATGCTATAGCTTGCGTCGAAAAGGGATGTGACAGAATGCTGTTTGCGGAATCTCTAGGTTAGCTTTAAAGGGGCTCTATGGCTACCGTAAGGCCAAGGTGTTTTGTTTTATTGTGGCGACTCCTGGGACCTACCATGAACCTCCAAGTAGACCCTAAACCCCATTTGCTGATTGAATCCCCAGATCCCCTTAAAGGGACCCATAAAGGAACCCGTATAACTACCCATGAACCTCCAAGTATGGGCGTCACTACCATCCTGAATCCATCAGACATAAACCCAAGAAGATGTTGATCGCAGGTTCTTAGAAATTGACAGGCAGCCGGGCCTCCAGCTGACCCAGGGGAGCCCTGTTATCAAAGCCTAACTTCCATCCAAGCCCTACACCCAAATGGAAGTTTCCGAAGATCAGGGGTACCTTATTTTGGGGTCCTTGTAACAAGGATCCTACTATTCAGGGTACGTGGTCCCGTATTTTCGGAAACTCCCACACCCCTGAAGCCCTCCTCGCTACGGTTGGTGGTGTAAATCCTGCATTACACCTTAAGGACCCTAAACTATGGGAATTCTGGTATATTCCTTATTATGGGTACTGCAGAATTCATATCCCTAAACCCTAAACCCTAAAACCCTAAACCCAAATCCCTGAAGCTCCCCAAAAAAAACAAAAAACATCGGTTTCCCTTCGAAAGGTACATGCTGGATCTTGACTTGGAGTCTCCTGAGGGAACCAAAATCGCGGGGCCGGGGCCCGAGCCGACTTCCCGTTTTTGTTCAGGGGGTTTAGGGTTTAGGGTCTTTTGGGGTTAGAGTTTATATAGGGTTTAGGGTTTATAGGGTTTAGGGTCTTTTGGGGTTAGAGTTTATATAGGGTTTAGGGTTTATAGGGTCTTTTGGGTCTTTTCGGTTTAGAGTTTATAGGGTTTAGGGTTTATAGGGTTTAGGGTCTTTTGGGGTTTAGAGTTTATAGGGTTTAGGGCTTATAGGGTTTAGGGTCTGTTTGTTTTAGGGCATGGGTTTAGGGATTTTGGTTTAGGGTTTAGAGTTTGTAGGGTTTAGGGTTTAGGATCTTTTTATAGGGCATGGGTTTAGGGATTGTGGGTGTAGGGTTTAGGGTTGTAATTTGTGCACGTGTGAAGTATCATGTTGTGTGTATGGCATTGTGGCACAAGTGCTCTGAGTGAAAAAGAGTAGATGCCCAATGGTATAACTGCGTTATTCCTCAACACTTGGACGGGTGTACAACAGTGCGTGTGTGCAGTGGTTTACAACAACTATAGGTTATCAGCCGTATCGCTCGTGAAATCGATGCTGACTGCGAGACCGTGACCCAAAACTCCGGGGGGTCAAAAACCTGGACGGGCAGCCATGTGCTTATGAGCGCCTAACATGAGGGTCCGGTGGCTCACACCCTCAGGCCATGAAGCTCTGGCTGAAAAAGCGCAGCTTGGCGCCACTGGTTGTGCTCCGCCCTTTGCGGTGCTGCGAGTGCCTTACTTGGGGAGGCAAAAGCCCATGCCGAACAGCGGGGGCCCGTGTGGGGGGGAAAAGCTCCACATCAGTGCCTGTGGCGGGAGGGCAAAATCCTGCTAGTGTCGTGAAGGGAAACGGGGACTCGTTGGCGAACCACGCTGTTGCTCACCAAAGCGGGGGGTGTTGATTCCCTCCAAGCAGTAGCCCTCAAGACGCCTTGCCGGCGTGCGTCTTACCTTGCTTGTAGCTGCGCAGTCCTGCAGTTACGGCTGGGTAAGGGTGGGCACATGCAAAGTATTGTTGGCAGAATTGCCGAGACTTTAGGTTATCAGCCGTATAGCCTACGGCCTGGTCACAACTGGTTGGTTACAATACAATCAATCAGCGCATGAGCGAACCGGAACTTATTCCTGCAAGTATGGATACAGTTACAAGCACCGTGAACCCTTTTCAGCCCCCGGTCACGGGTGGCCGTACAGGGAGCGGCGCCCCCGGCTTAGTTTTCCCGGCACCAGCCTCAGTCCAACAATTCAACGTCTTCGCACCACAGTATAGTGTCGAAGTACACGTTAACCAGATCAGACTGGAAGTCGGAGAACTAGAGGCTCAGGCAGAAGCTAGACACAGGCAACACATGCTGACCTATCAAGAAGCATCCGCAATTCACACAGCTGACTTGGAGCACAGAGCAGAACGAAACCACCTTGAAGTGGTAGCAGAACTGCAAGCAGCCTTGGCACAAAGCGAGTTCAAGGCGGCAAATCGCGAAAGGCTCCTGTTGTCGGAAATGACTTTAAGTCAGGCGCATTCCTATGACGAAGATCAAAGGTTGCGTCAAGAGCTAGCGGAACTTCAACAAAGCCGAATCACAGACGCATTGGATCAACATCTGGCGGAATCACCCTTTGCACAGAACCTCGAAGAACAGGCGAGACGGCACGTCCAGAATTCCCAGGAAGTCATGGTTGAACAGTTCCAAGCACACTTTGAGTTGTTTAGGAACAGGCAGAAAGAAGAGTATGAGGCGTCCCTTGCTGTATGCAGGGAACAGAACGAAGAGCTTCAGGACAGGTTGGATTCTGCGGAAACTGCACTAGAGAAGGTCTTGGATCAGTACAATCCAGCTACTCCAAAGAGTCAGCCAGTGCCTGCTCCAAGCACCCCTGCAGGTCCCTCTGTTGTCCCCAAAGCTCCTCAAGCGCCCATGTTCTCAATGCCGAACGTAATCCCCCAAGGTGCCAGATGTCTGTTCGAGTCAATGAATCCAGGAGGTTTGAATGCTCAGTCCATTCCGTCTGCAACAGCATCTTCAATCCCCAAGGCAGGACCTTCCCAGGCAGCGCCAGGAACAGCGGCCCCTCCAGCGGCCGACTCCGGCACGCCAGGGACGGAGGCTTTCAACACAGGTCTCCTAGAGACCCAAATGGCAATTCTTCAAAGCCTAAGAACCTTAAGGGGTGAGAGCAAAGGCGATGCTGACAAACCCAAAGCGAAAGAAGCAGAGTCCATCAACCTTCCGGATTTCCCAAGTCCAGAGTCGTATCGTTCATGGAAAACGGCAGCTAGGGAAGCGGTCAGGGCAGCATCAGATTCTCCTGATGAGGCGTTTAAATGGGTGATGAAGGCCTACGACAAAGACGCATCGCAGGAATCCCTTCGAGACCCTGAGAAATTCCTCACCCTTGACACGAAACTTCTTGCTGCACTCACCAAAGTCGCTAGGGGAGAACTCTCCCGAGAAATCCTCATTTTTAAGGAGACAGAAGCGGCGAAATTCAGGGCGGTACGAGGACGACAGGTGCTCTACCTCTTCGATCAGTACTTCAAGACGAACGAGGAGGTTGGCTCACTGTACTCCGTGGAGGACCTGCTGAAAGTAAGGTTAATCAATGACGACCTTTCAGTGTTCATTAGCAACTGGGAATCTGTCATGTCTGGACTTAGCCACACACCGGACGAAACGACCCTAAGAGACATTTTCCTTCGTGAACTCAGGCAGTCCAAGAGGCTAAAGTACGATCTTGAGATTTACGACAGGGCATCAGAGGGCACGGATCAGCACACGTACAGGTTTCTTGTGAAGTCACTTAAGGATCTTTTGACCCGAGAGCGCAAACGCAAGAACCGTGACCGCATCGCAAGATCTCACGGAGATAAGTACGGTGCCCCTGCCTCAAAGTCTCCTGGCCGAACTTCCAGCCCCTCTTCAAGAGGAGGCCGTGGCAGATCGCAGAGCCCAAGGCCAAGATCACCCAGCAAAGGTAGATCCCAGTCTCCCAGCAAGCCTAGGACACCTAGCCCAAAGGGAGTATGCTACGATTTCCTCAAAGGAACTTGCAAGCGAGGCAATAACTGCCCTTTCCTTCACAAGAAGAGATCATTGTCCCCCAAAGGCGACAAACAGAAGAAGAAAATCAACGTGACATGCAAGTTCTGGAAAGAAGGCAACTGCAACAAGGGTGACAAATGTCGGTTCCAGCATAAGGATGTAGAGAAGCCGTCAGCTCCCGCACCCAAGTCCGAAGCCGCCCCGGCAGCTCCAAAGCCAGGGTCACCTAGGGCCAACTCCCCTGCCCCGCGCAGAGGGAGAAGTCCCAGGGCCAAGTCAAGTGACAAGGCTCCAAAGACGGCCGCATGCGCCATCGCGTTCGAGAATACAGCGGATCTTGAGATCTCGCCAAAGCTCGCTATGGCAGCGTCACATGACGAGGACTACTGGGAGGTAGACTTCACCGGCAACAAAATCATCCGCCA